CCTGTTGAAATTGGGTTTAGAACCGTACGCTAGACACGACTTATGTCAATATTGTTGTAATTTGATTCAGAACCGCACACTAGACACGACTTTTGGTAATCCTGTAGAAATTGGGCTCAGAACCGCAGACTGGACACGACTTTTGCCAATTCTTTAGAAATTGGGTTCAGAACCGCAAGCTGGACACAACTTTTGGTAATCCTGTTGAAATTGGGTTTAGAACCGTACGCTAGACACGACTTATGTCAATATTGTTGTAATTTGATTCAGAACCGCACACTAGACACGACTTTTGGCAATCCTGTAGAAATTGGGCTCAGAACCGCAGACTGGACACGACTTTTGCCAATTCTTTAGAAATTGGGTTCAGAACCGCAAGCTGGACACAACTTTTGGTAATCCTGTTGAAATTGGGTTTAGAACCGTACGCTAGACACGACTTATGTCAATATTGTTGTAATTTGATTCAGAACCGCACACTAGACACGACTTTTGGCAATCCTGTAGAAATTGGGTTCAGAACCGCAAGCTGGACACGACTTTTGTCAATTCTATTGGAATTTGGTTCAAGTCCGCACGCTAGACACGAATTTCGACAATAGTGTTAAAATTGGGTTGAGAACCGTACACAGGACACGATTATTGTCAATATTGTTGTAATTAGGTTCGGAATCGATTGAATTTGGACAAAACCGCACAGAGTACACGACTTTGATCATTATAACCTCAAAAAATCCGTTTAAAGTCCGAAATTGTTGTTTACTAGGATGTTAATGCAAGCTCAGATCACATTAACACCTAGACTAAGATCTAGTCTAAGTTAGATCCTATTAATCATACCCATAGCTAGCCAATAGTCAGCTAACATACCCAAAATCCACACAAGGAACTTCACATTAAAAATATTCACTGCAAGTTTATTTTATGCATAATCGATCGATATAAACACAATTATGCTCTTAACGGAGGATTGAATTGAAAGTTGAAAAAAAGGAATAAATGCAAAAATCAAGCAACGAAGACCAAAATGATTTCTTAATGAAGCAGAAAAAGAGGAACAGAAAAGAGAGAAAGAGAGAGAGAATAAAATGACCAAGAATTTGCACATTGTGAGTGGGAAGAAAGCAGAACAAGGCAAGAGAATGAGCGAAAGGAACTGAAAGAGAAGAAAATGTTTAAAGAAATTAAGAAGATTAGATTAAGATCAGTATGGTGATGTAAAATGAATGAAGCGAAGAAGAACACGACAGAGACCACCGGCACGAGGGCAAAACTTATTGAACTCTAATTTTTTTGCGGATTTGTGCGTTTGTTGTTTTATGTGATTGGATTTCTGGTCAATAGTCGCACGCAACTCACGATTCGTGTGGCAATCTTTAAAATTTGGTCAAAAGTCGCACGCAGCTCACGATTCTTGTGGCAATCTATGAAATTTGGTCAAAAGTCACACGCAGCTCACGATTCTTGTGACAATCTATGAAATTTGGTCAATAGTCGCACGCAGCTAACGACTCTTGTGTAAATCTATGAAATTTTGTCAATAGTCGCACGGAGCTCACGATTCATGTGGCAATCTTTAAGATTTGGTCAAAAGTCACACGCAGCTCACGAATCTTGTGTCAATCTATGAAATTTTGTCAATAGTCGCACGCAGCTCACGATTCATGTGGCAATCTTTAAGATTTGGTCAAAAGTCGCACGCAGCTCACGATTCTTGTGGCAACCTATGAAATTTTGTCAACAGTCGCACGCAGCTCACGATTTTTGTGACATTCTTTGCAAGTTGGTCAATAGTCGCACGCAGTACACGACTTTTGTGATAATTTTTTCAACGACTAATGTGCACTTAACCTCAAAAACCCATAAAACTTTTTTAATTTTCCGTCATAATTTTCCATTTTCAACCTCAACTTAACCTCAATCCTCAGTTATTGGAGTGTTTACAATAAGCAATTGAAGCATCAAAAGTCAATCAGACTAATTCGTATGGCTTCTAATATCCACCATTACAAGAAATCCCCACAAAAGACATTGTTACCATTTAAAACCTATTAAATGGCTCCGAAGGAATTTAATACTGTAAAGTGCAGAAGAAAAACTTTTAAAGTGACGTCACGAGACATCGCAACAAAAAACGTGACGCCTTTTTTCAAAATAAAATAAAAAAAAAATGAAAAGAAAAAAGAAGCAGCAGCAATTTTATAGTAAAACAAGACCTACGTCAACATTGTCGTCGTCGCGTGCTCGTCTTTCTTTTCTGTATTTTTTTTTTGTGTATTCCTCACACCGACAGGCACACACAAAAATGTGTGAAAATAAAACTCACAAAAAACATTTCTTTTGAGGAAGGAAATAAAAGTTTATCAAAAAAAAATATTTTTTTTCTCTCTTGTGGCTGGTTTTGGATCAACACACGCTTTCATTTGGTGCTATTGAGGATGAAATTTTTGTGGATTGAATAAAGTTTTGATGATTATACTTTGAAGAGTTGGTGATTTGAGGACAGGATTCTTAGATATGTCAGTCGATTTGTGACTATGATGCATGTTAAGCTACAGTATTCATTGACTTTGGATGATATGCTGCTAGATGGATGTCAGGAAAACCATCAACTTGTGGTACTGTACACTAGCATAAGTGGTCACGGTTGGACACAACTTTTAGCTCTAACGCGATTGCTAGCTAATGCCACAAGCTAAGTGAGTTGATAGACATGTTGAGACGCTTCTTTACGAATAGACAATTACCAAGTAGCACTAGGTCTACCAGGTTTTCGTCTACCCAATACAGCTTGTCACGTTATATTCTGAAGGGTCTTTCCCTAATGTGTGATCAATCCAGTTCCATTTCCTTTTGCCTATATTATCAACAATGGACTCCTGTTTCGGCAAGGCTTAAAGTTTTGCATTTCTTATAAGCTCCGGGATAGATTTCGCAAAGTGAGAATGTGCCAAACTCAAACCTAGAGTTTATCTACAGTTTATAGAAGGATCTGAACCATTCAAAGTGTCCATGACTTACTTACTTACTTACTTGGCGGAGGTGAACGTGAGCATATTGCCGTGCTTAGAGATTATCTGAAGATAGTTGTATCCTTAGAAACCTTCTGCCAGTTCGGGATATAAAGGACTCTAGCGTCCAACATGAATAGCTTAATTTTAAATTGTGTGTCCAAGAAACAGACACGAAGCCAGAGTTTTAGGACTAACCAAGTCTGTGGAACCTAGACATCAAAATTGATCAAAATGTGATTTATCAGTTCTGCACCTTTAGGTCTGAATTCACCTCTAAGCCTATAAGCTCTTTATTCGAAGGGACACGAATCTTTTAATTGTAAGTTTTAGACAGTAATGTCACTAAATTGGTTGAGATTTTGAATGAAACTGGATTTTTTAGATTAGGAAGGTCAGTTCCAATGAATTCATTAGAAACGCATCAAGTGTAGTGTTACTGGGAACGGTTTCTAGGGCTACTCGAAGTATCTTAGCCTAGGATTAAAAATTCAGACAGAGAACTTAGAGTTTATTGATCGTGTGAAGATGGCTATATCGTTCGACACCTTCTGCTAATCTAGATATTAAGGACACTAGCGTACTTTTGAGCACATCCATTCCCCGGTATCTTTGGTCTTCCTTGTGATCTTTTGACATCCATAAAGTCTGCTCCTGTGAATTTAATGCTGAGGCATTTTGTGAGCGTCTGAACACATGTCCAGAGCATCTTAAACAATTTACAAGGAAAACTGTAGCACTTGAAACTGGCTCCTTGCTTAGGTGATAATGCATCAAAGCAACAATAAATCAGAAATTTAAGTCAATTCAGACAAAATTCCAAATGTGTATATACACCTTACAATTTTAGAAGTTAATTAATATCAAATGGTGTACAAAACGTTAAATAATACTTTTTGTAGCCAGCTGAGAGTCAGCTTACACATCAAATAGCTTCTGCTGATTTTTAGCGCATTTTTGAAACTTGTTTCTAAAAGGTAGCTTAATAATGCACTTTGTTCGGCTGTTTGTTCGGGCGAAGAAAAACTTTTTAACCAGACATTGTAGAGAGCTCGGGTTTGTTTTATTAACTCAGTTCTTTCAAGTTATTGGCCGATCGAACAGTTAAAATCTTAAAACAGTGTATTCATACTTTAATTATTGATTTTTTTCATATGAAAAAACACGTAATGGATGCGTTCAGAAATTCGAATGTTTTTTAACCAGTAAAAAAATTGAATTCCCAAAAACCGTTAAGGAATATAATCTTTCTATAAGGACATTCAATGTAATTATTTGTTAATTTCACTAAAATTATTGATCTTCTAATCTTTTAATGTTCTGTAAGTGAACGCAAAATAAAGCTACAAAAATGCGCGTAAGTCCCTCGATCAATAAAACGAGGACTTCTGTAATTTTTCACATTTTTTGGTTAATTTTTAATTTTTTTCTAAGTTTTTAACTTCAAAACTTTACATTTAAACAATGAATCTTGAAAAAAAATTCAAAAATACGACTTAAAAGGTGAGAAAGTCACAATTAACTCACATAAAAAACTTTTCATTCAGACTCACAGCGATCATAATTTTCACATTTATTCTTAGTTTTTTTTCTCCATTTTCATTCATTTTAAGTGGCATAAAACAACATTAAAGAGAGCATAAAAGTCAACAACATAATGATGATTATGACTGTAAATGATGATCGTCGGACGCATTATGAGAACATTTTATTGTGATTTTATGATGTTTAGTGTGGAAAATTGAAAAAAAAATTCTAAAGATTTAAAAACATTTAAATTCAAAAAACATAGACAAAATTAAAACTTTGCAAAATATTACAAGCAAACCATAAAAATTTTCTATTTAATAATTTTCAAAAATCTACAAAAAAATTCAAAAACTGCCCACAAAAACCCTCAAAATTCCCAAAAGCAACATAAAGAAATTTAAAATAATTTTCCATGCCGCTAATTTTATAATCCGTAAAAAAAATTATTTTGACACTTACACGACAAATTTTTTTCAATTTTTTTTCCACACTGCTTTTTTTCAAAAGGGAAAATATTTTTCTCTGATTGCGTGGACGACGACACGAGTTGAGGCTGTCTATTTTTGTGATGATCCAAAAAGTTTTTTTTTGTATTTCTTCTCTCGATCGCTCTTATTATGATTTTTATGAGACTTTATTTTTTATAATTTTTATTTTTGGATAATTTTCTGCTGTTTTTGTTGTTGTCGCTTGTCGCTGTGATTAATTTTTCTTAATTTTTTTTGGGGTCTTTTTTTTATTTTTGAACTTTTTTTTAAATCTTTTAATATCTTTTTTGTGGACTTTTTTTTTGGGTGCACGATGGAATTTTTTTTTGTAGTTTGAGAATTTATTTGTTTTATTTTGTTCACTTTTTCACTGAATTTGCCGGTAATTTGAGGAAATTCCTGGTTTGTGTTTTCAAATTTTAGGTAATTTAATTTTATTAAGTTTCAAACTTTATAAAAAATTGAATTTTATATTGAGACATTAGATTCAATTTTCAATTCAATATTAACATAATACCGTTTAAATTTTTAAAAACTTTTTGAAATTCCAGCTTTTTGAAAATTGTTTATTGAAAAACCTCAAATTTAACATTACTTCAATTTTAATTTAATTTAATAAACATCGATTTAATGAGTTTGAGTTAAATTGTTTTAAGTTTTTTCTTTTAAAATTTTTTCATTCAAATTTCACAAGAGTTTTTACAAACAGTTAATTATCCATGATTTACTGACACTTTTCATTTAACTTTTTAATCAAATGTTAAAATTTTAGTCTTTTATATTTTTTTTAATTCATTTTTCAGTTTTTTTTCTGCAAATTTTAATTATTTTTGCATCTAAAAGTCACTTTAAAATACCTTTTTGATTAAATTTGTGAATTTGTCTATTTTAAAATTTATTATATTTTTGAATTTTCACTTAATTCGTCAAAAAAATCCACTGTTTTTCAAACTTGTGCATTGTTGAAATTTTTTCTTGATCACTTTTTTTCGCTCATATTTTTTGTAACCACGTGTTTGTACGCCACTTTATTTTCTTTTTCAGTTCAGTATTTTCCACACTTGTTTATTATTTTTTGATTCATTCAATTTAATATTTGTTAATTTTTTATTACATTAATTTTCACATGATTAGTCACTGCAATGAAACAAATTTGAAACTTATTTTAATTTTTTTGTATTTTATAAAAAAAAGATTATTTAAATTTCACATAAAAATTGATTTTGATGCATAAAAAAATAATTTTTGAAATGATTTAAATTAGAAAAGTTAAATTTGGAGAGACAAATAAAAAAGATTAAATTGTGAAAAAGTTGTTATTTTAGATTTTAAATTTTTTTAAAATTTAAATTTCTAAAATTATTAATATTCGGACACCATCAGCAATGCTGATATAGTTTTAATAATTTATACTTTTTAACATTTGTTTAAAAAGACAAAATGAGAATTTTTTTTTAAGAAGTTAAGAATTTGAAATTGTCACTAAATTTGATACATTTCATAATAAAGATAATTATTTTTTTTTTTTAAATAAGAACTTCACAAAAAATTCAATTTAATTACAAAATGTTTTTTTCTTCTAATATTCAATTTAAGATTATTATAAATATTTGTTAAAAAACCAAAAACAACTTCCAAAATCACACCAAAATATCATAAAATATTTTTCAAAGTTTAAAAAAAAATAATTTGATTTTTTTAAAAAAAAAATAAGAATTAAAATTTCTTTGCACCTAAAAAAAATAATTACAATTTTTTTCCCACCGCACTGTAAAAATTAATTTTTCGATAATAAAAAAAAACTGTTCCTTCCTTATTACGATCTGCGCGCCTCAAACGTAAATAATGAACTGCACTATCTTCACAATTTATTTTTCCTTTTTCTCGCCCATACACACAACATGTATAATAATTTCTCAATGGCAGGCCAAGCAGGCAGCAGAGAAATAATTTTTTTTCCTTTTTCTTCTTCTTGTTCTTTCTGTTGTTGCTGTTGCTGGCTGTTGTTATATTTATTGTATAGCTGTGTATAAAATTTTATAATTATTTAAAATCAGAAAAAGGGGGGCGCCTCTCTCGCATGAGCATGTATTTGTGACTACTGCGTGTGTGTGCTGCTTGCTGCTGATGATGACGATAATAATTTTCTGTGTGCATTTTCTCTCAAAAAACAACTTCTTTTTCTTATTGATACTCATTTTTTTTGTTGCTTCTTTTATTTTAATGTGAGCTGGTCGGTCGGTTGGTTGGTGCTGCTTTTTTTAACCCCCTTTATATTTATCACCCCCACCCAATGGCACCCTGAGCTTTTCTTTCCTTGTTTGCTTTTGCTTTTCTGCTTTTTTGTTTCGATTCTTTTGTCATTTTTTTCTACTTTTGTTATTCTGGAACTTGCTGATTTTGATGCTTTTATTATCAATTTTATTTGATTTTTTTTATTTTTTTTTTGTTTTAAAATAAATTTTTGATCTTATTATGAAGATTTACTTGGAAAGTAATTTTTTGAGCATCTTTTTATGAATTTTGGAAACAGTTTCAGTTTAATTAATTGTTGAAACCGTTTTAAGTATAATTTAAAATTTTATGGACTCATTGGTCATAGTTTACATCACTATGGGAGATATTCTGTGAAAAAGAGTAACCTAAGGCTTCTCTAGGAGTAAGGAGCGCTCTGTAAGATCAAGTGTCCAGTAGGCAAATATCCGAGTGGGCAAGTGGCAGTAGGGATGTGTCTATGGGCTAGTGTCCAGTGTGCAAATGGACCAAATTCTATTCAGAGAACTGAATTTAGCCTTTTTAAAAAAATATTGCTACAGTTCTTGCAAACCAAAAATCGAGTATGACTTAAGTCGAGTAAAAATTGAATAACTTGAAGGTAGATCCTCAATTTTGTGGCATGGCACATTCCAGGCTAAAAATCTTCAGGGTTATTTTCACCAAAGCTAAAGGTATGCGTTTGTTAAATTACATAAGTTTTTGGCTTAAGTTCAGTTCCAAATTATTATCGATACAACATCACGTGATGCATTAAATGAGACACAAAGATTTCTTTAATATCTTGACAACCTTTAAAAGATAAAATTCAGCTGCGATTCATAATTCTGAATTTACAAGAAGTGGTGAAATCAATTTTATTGAATAGTTCAATTTAATGCTACATGCGATTTATTTTTGACTTTAAGGTTATCAATTTTTGACAAAAAAAAATAATAAAATAATACATTAAGTTTATCATTTTAGTACAGGAAGTATTTTATATTTTTTAAAAATTATCTACGAGTACTTTAATACATTTACAAGCTTATGGCATAATAATTAGTAAGAATAATGCAAAATATCAAGCAAGTTCTGGCAAAATTATCTGCAATTTTATTGAAAAAAAAAAAGAAAATCTGTTGAGATTAGCTTTTTCTACTGATCCTCGACAACAGTATGGACGATATTTTAAAAAAATATTTCTTCATTTTCTGAGGAATTTTAACAGAATATTTCAAAAATATCCCTAAAAAAATTTTTTTTTCATCCACCTCCGCCCCCCCCCCCCCTCTTCCTAAGCCCTGAAAAGCACACATTAATAAAATTACGTATTTATGCTTTGTCCAAAATCAATTAAGTTTATGGATCTTTTGTTAAAAACTCCAAAGTCTCTTGTCCATAAAATAGTAATAGGGATGATGGATACTAAAAAGCTAGTAATGCTTAACAGTTCTATTTGTAAACGCATTGTATCTTTTATATCCACTAATTATTTTCTATTGTACTTACTGACGAAAGCAGAAAGTTATTTCTACCGTAATAATAATAATAATAATGACTGAAGGGCCCAGCTTTAGACCTACAGTTTATGGTGGGATCCAAACCACTTGCAAGTTCTGCACATTGCAAAGACACGAGTACGTCATAAGAAAGTCTAAAAGTCATCAAGTTGCTAGTATATCCTTGTATACCTAGCAAAAGAAAGCATATTCTGTACCAAAGACCCCAAAAATACACCCAACACACAAAACGAGCTTCGTAACTAGAACGGTAAAATGGAAAAAGAGCTTCAAAAATTTGACATGGCCTGGGATTGAACCCAGGACCTCTGGCACGGTAGGCCAACGCTCTACCATTTAGTTTACTGATGCCATATCACCGTTATTCTTTCGTAGTTGTTCCAAGACTTAAAAGTAGATTGGAATTGTGGAAGATGTTGAAATTTCTTGACTCTAGTTCAGTGTTGTCCAAAAATTTTGAGCCATGGCACACCATAGAAATAAGTCACACCCTTCATGCGGCTCGTGTGATTTTCAAAAAATTTCTACGGCATGCAGTTTGGGAAACACTGGTCTAGAGCCAGGAAATTAAAACACCTTCCACAAACCCAAACTTGCTATACGTCTTGAAACAATTACCAAAATGGTACTGGAGGAATAACTTTGCTTAATTTGATTGCTTCAAGTTGCTTGTGAGCTAATGGCCTTTGGATGGTTTAAAACAGTGTCTTTGAAACTTTTTTGGTCGTCGACACACTTTGATGCTCAGCCATGATCAACAAGACACGCGGCATACGGTTCGTGAGATTTCCTGAATTTATTTAAGCCACGCTATTGTGTAGCGACACATAATTGGAATTAAATGTTTTAGAATGATTTTAGAACATATTGAATTATTTTTGAAAAAGTCATTCCTTAACAACTTCTCGATATTTAATTAAAACCCAAATTCTCAACTTGATCAGCAAATCAAACCAAATAAAAAGCAAAATAAAATACAAGATTTCTTCACAGTCGATTTGCATGCATCAAGTATCGGATATCAAATAACAAACAAAATTTAAAATACTTTTTTTTTCTTTATTTTCTTCCTTCACACAACAGAACTCACAAAAAAAACAAGACGCACACCGAAGAGAGCCGTCAAGAGCATTCTGCATGCAACGAAATTTAAAAATTAACTGATTCTCATTGATTATGAAATACAGAAAAAAATAATAATAATAAAAAAAAAATTATGCACAGAAAATTTTCTTTATCCACACAGAAAATACAGCAAAAAAAGTAGTTGTGAGGGTTTTTTTTTTTTGCAAAAGTTTACGACGACGGAGCAACGACGATGATGATTGGAAATCCGAATGTGACTCTCACATCTCATTCCACAGGCTGTAGACATTCTTCGGCTTTTTTATGCTCTCGAAAATGTTTTTGTCGCTCTCGACTTGTTTTTTTTCTACTCTCACTGCAATCATCAAAAATCGTCATTCTTTTTATGCTGTTACTGCTGCTTCTTTTTTGTTTATTTGTAAGAAGTGAAGCTATGCACTGTTTTGAGACAACACACATACCAGCATGCAGCCTAACACGAGGTGGAAATTTTCTCTTTGCTCTGAGAGAGCAAAATTTGGATTTTTTTTA